ATACTATGGTGATGAACATGGTGCGGTTTTAAATGTAAAGGATGAACAGCCATCTTTCTCTGCATGGAAGGTAAGCCTGGAGGGTTAAAAGTGCAGCTTTTCATCGCTCCTCTGAATCAAAAGCTCACTAGCAAAGACAATATTTTCATATCATTAGTGCTTTCAAAATCTCACCAAAGTGTTAGAATATACAGCTTAAATGGAAACACCTGCTTCAAGCCATTCCGTGTGTGCAGGTGAAAGCGAAGCAAGAACTGGAGGACAAAAGAGAGGTAACCTGTCGCACTTCCTTCCCCTGCTTTTCAACAAAGATAAAAGAAGTGGTTTGAATGAACCAATGTCAAATGCCTCTTTAACTTAAATTCTTTACTCTCAGGGAGAATAGACGCTCATTTCAACAATTTTTAAATATCGATTTTATATAAGTTTAAAGCAGATGAAAATGACATTTAAATATACTTGAGAGCCTTTGCATTAATTCTTGATTCCATAAACCAACTGCTCTTGAGGTGATTCTTACTCAGAGGGCCAGCATAGGGCAGAGTAGAACTCCATCGAGAGCGACCAAGGCTGTCACATTCATGCAAGCACACTGCTACCTCTTTGTCCCTCAAAACAGCTGGTGGACGTGAACAGCTGTCTTCTTAGTTAGCAGCAGGTGCTCAACCAGTGCACCAACAGAGATTCTGTAACCAACTTCTTGAGACCGTAAGGAAAAGCATTATTTGTTATAATTGCTATTTTTTAAAAATCTGTTGGAGATTATGTCTTCTTCTGTGTTACTGACAAGAGTGGGTCTGTTTTCAACCAAACAAAGTTGGATTAAGAAGAACGATTTCTGTTACTGTGAATGTAGATGAGATACATATTAAAGTCATTATAGAAATTAGTAGGGATTGTTATATCTTCATAATAGTTAAAATGCTTATCAAAATTGTTAGGATGTAACAAGGTAAATTTTAAAGAAATTTTTTAAGATAATGAATATCAGTTGAAGACAATCACTTAGATTTTTGAGCATCCAAAATTACAGGGTTTCGTGCCAAAGCTGTTTGTTCCAGGACTTTCTGTCTGTTTTCTTGACTAAGCAAAACATTTTGAATCAAATCTTTGTGGGGCCACAAACCTAATCTAAATTCTACATTCTGAGTTATAGTAACCCTATAGGAACTGCTCCCTAGAATTCCTAAAGCTGTAAAAAAATTTTTTATCATTTTATTGGATGCTCATACAGCTCTTATCAAAATCCATATATACATCCATTGTGTTGAGCACATTTATACATATGTTTCCATCATCATTTTCAAATCATTTTCTTTCTACTTGAGTCCTTGTATCAGCTCCTCATTTTTCCTCCTCCCTCCCCCATCCTTTCTCCCTCATGAATCCTTGATAATTTATAATCCTTGATGATTTTTTCATGTCTTACACTGACCGCTGTCTCCCTTCACCCACTTTTCTGTTGGTCTGTCCCCC